AAAGTAAATACGCATTAAATTCAGGTATAAGTCTTCATAGTTTTCCTCCTAGTGGTAAATATAAAGTGCACATTGTAACAAAACTGGGAATTCAAGAAGAAGTAGATTTACAAAAGGCATGGAAAATTAAACTTAAAATTGATAAACCAATTACTCCTAATTTGAAGGTGTGCTCGAAACATTTTTCAGATGATTCCTTTTTCTTATTTGGTAAGTTATTTTGTGTTCTCTCCTCCTAAGGTGTTAACAGTAGTTAAATTATGTAGTTTTAATTAAAGTCGCTGATTTTACTGACTGTTACTACTTAACTTATGTATATTGATGTACATTTTAGGTGTACCAACAAAAAGAAAGCGTTTAAAACGAAATGCAATCCCTACGAAAAATTTGCCAGCTTTGAAAGTGAGAGGATCAATTGCTCCTCCAAAAGTAAAAGTTAGATCTGAAAGGTTAAACAAAATAGTCTGCAGAGATCGTACAAGACATCCTATCTGCAAACCAGAAAAAGCAACTAGTGCGGACATAGAAGCTGCAAACGTTTTACTATCTTTGTATACATCCCCAAAAATAGATGTTATAAATCCTACCGAAATCTCAACTTCACCGCTTATTGAAATGGATACACATGGTGACCCTGTGAACTTACAATTCAACACGAAAGATAGCAGTGTTCAAGTATCAAGTGGGGATATTATGACAAAGTTTATTGCTTGTATCGATACTGTCAAGAAGCTAAATACTTTAACGGGTTTACCATCATTTGAACATTTAAATTTATTGTGTAGTGAACTTAGTAGTATAAACATTTCAAAAAGAAGTCGCAAATTATGTCTACGAGAAAGAGTAATCCTAACTTTAATAAAATTAAAACAAAATTTGTCATTATCAGTTTTAAGTGTCCTATTTGGGTGTGTTACAATTCAGACATGTAAAATAATTTTTCAGGAAACTGTGATTTGTTTAGCAGAATTATTAAAGTGTGCAATACCATGGCCTTCAAAAGACGAAATTTTGAACAATATGCCATTATGTTTCAATAATTTTAAGCATGTTCGTGTAGTCTTAGATTGTACAGAAATTCCAATACAAAAACCAAAATGTTTGAAATGTCGATTAAAATTATATTCCCACTACAAGTCGGGACTTACATTAAAATTTATGACTGGGGTAACCCCGGCAGGCTTAATCTCATATATAAGTCCTGCTTTTGGGGGCAAAGCCTCAGACAAAGCTATATTTGTGCAGAGTGGATTACTAGACAAACTTGAAAAAAATGACGCCATTATGGTGGACAAAGGTTTTTTAATTGACCAAGAATGTTTTGCTAAAGGAATTACTATTGTTCGACCACCATTTCTAACTAATAAGGTGCAGTTTTGTAAAAAAGAAGCATTGTTAAATAGAGAAATTGCCGCTGCTAGAGTTCACATTGAACGATCAAATCAACGGATAAAAATGTTTAAATTTTTTAATAGCAGATTTGAATGGTCGTTAATAAATATTGTTAATGAGTGTTTTGCGGTTGTTTGTGGCATAACAAATTTATGTTCACCCATCCTTGGAGATGATAAATTTTAGTACAATATTACTATTATATGTTAAAACTCAAATAAATGAAATACCTCGAGATTCTTTATTTTATCACACTCACACGTTACCTACCTGTATATAGGGCAACAGAAGGCTTTCAAGAAACTAAATATCTCTAACTTTACAGGATTATAACATATGCAGATTATGTACCTATTGTACAAATCACCAAAGTGATACCAATTTATTTTTCTTACTCAATTTACATTAACTACAATTTAATTCAACCAAACAGGATATCAATCGACCAAAGAACAAAGTTTATGTAAAATATTGTGAAAATATTTGTATTTCAAAATTGGAAGCATAAGGCGACAAAAATCTAAATCTAACTTTATAGTTTCAATATACATTGAATTATCCTTGCTAGAAAAAATGATAAAGTCTGTTTCACTAATATTTAAAATTGCCATTCCTAAATTAATTTGTCCATAATATTGATGTTTTCTCTTTAATTGAAATTTACCATTGTCCAATTTCTGCAGATACGAACAAGTTGGCAACAATTCAGTAATACTTAAATTACGACCTTGCCATGGACACTTAATTTCAATTAATTTAACCGGAATATGGTTTTCAATTATTACTCCATCAGGAGAGTATCCTAACCAGGGATTATTGTCCGACACAATGAGTCCACATTCCACCACTTTAACGTTTTGGATTGTTTCATACATTTGCCGTGCAATTGTATCAAATTGTATGCCATGAGTAATAAATTTATTACCAAATGGCTTTGGGAAAAACAAGCTCTTTACTTTGGCAGTCCAATTGGCACCTCTGTACGTATATAACGAATAGCACCTGCTTCCAGTAACTCGAAACCGTCTTTGATAATGCCATTTCTGTTTATCGTTGACAGTTTCATCACATACACTTACACTATTTAGAATTACCACATTCTCAATATAAAACTTTCTGCAGCATGGTAATATATCTTCAACATATGCTAAATTAATTTCCTCCATTAAGACACCATTTTGCATATTCTTGCATATGGAACGAATATGTACCCCTTCCTCAGATAGGGGAGTTTCTACAAATTCCATTACAATATTACTGGAGATATCATCTTGATGACGAACCACACCACGGCTATGTTTGGCTAATGCTGAATCTGGTAAAACCAGTTGAAATGATGCAAACATCGCTTTGGAGTCTATTTCAATGCTGTTCTTGAGATGCTGATATATTGGGACAGGCTTGTAACAACAGAAAGTAGTGATTGGCTCGGCTTTTTTATATTGTTGTAGATTTTCATCTTTTAATGTTGTCCAATGGCACTTTTTATCGGTGGTTGAAATTTTTTCCAACGCAATGATATCATTCCTAAAAGAATTATAATAGAGTAAAAAATGAATGAAAAAAATTTGTACAGCAATCACAAAATTAAGTTTACACCTAGCAGCTTTTATAGACAATAATGTATACTTACCGGTTACAATAAAGAAGAACAGCTAATATGTGCTTGCAACATTCCGATGCTCCTGCTTTACACGTACATGTAAATGTAACAGGCGTAACTGAAGTTTTGCATATTGTTCCTGTTATTGTGTGGGGTGGTGAAGACAATGCAGATGTTTGTAGCACTAATCCATAAAGTGACCAAACCCTACTATCTTTATTATCTGTAATGGTTCCACACAAAATTAAATGCTTAGCATTTAAAATTTCTTCTCCACCAGTAAAATTTTTTGAGCTTGGAGTACACTTCCCAAACGCACAAATGTTTTCCAATTTTACAAAAGGCATGTTAGACTCTGAATTCAATTACAATAATCCAAATAACATACAGATCCAACACAAACACACTTCTGTTTACAAATTTTCTCCCAACTATAAACGCCATTTGTAAACGATCGCAACGCCTCTAGTGGTAATCTGATTCGCGAATAATGTCTCTTCTAAACACTTAATGCTCCGATACACCGTTCTCGAGAGATGAACAATATTATATCCGATCTGTTTGTCAAGATCTTTCATGAAGGATTGTCTGGCGAATAAATTTGTTCGTTCCTTAGCACTATAATGACCGCAATTCTTATTTAATGCGGGACCATTCTCATCCGCGGACCAAACTTATCAATTTGCCGTTTTATTCTGCTTTCCTGTTTGATTTAGGTATGTAGGCATGTAAAAGGGTATGGAGTTATAAGGTCAATAAGAACGAGTGATTTCGGTCCATCCAATGAGCTCGGATCGGGAGCAGAATAATCTAATCTCCAAAAAACAGGACCTGACAGCATTCCTTAAAGTTATACTTACATTGTAAGTGCACAATAGTTGCAGAAGGCATGGCTATATGTTGTGGATTTCTCCCAGAAAGTGAACAAGCTCGCTTAATTATTAAGGATCCTCAGATTTTGTATAGTTTTGTATTGTCATCCGTCCGTCCGTCCGTTCGTCCGCCCGTCTGTGTGCGCTCTAACTTTTTTTAAACGTGACCAATTGTGTTGAAATTTGGTGTACCGGTACTTTGGATGGACGCTATTGATTTTCAGGAAGCCAGTTCAACAGCAACAAAAGTTATAGGAATTCTACTGAATCGGGAACAGGAAAAACTCCGGGCGCAATATACTCGTAATACAAAACCAACATATTCATTCCCTACGTCATGTATCGAGTTCGGACTTTCGCTAGATTATTCCCTATGACTCTTACGAGTAGATGTGTAACAATTCAATATAACTCTTCTCTGTGGTAAAGGTCAAAAGTCAAATGTATCTTTTATTCTAATTATTCTTTAATTTGGAGTTGTAAAAGCTGATGCTGAAAGAGTACATCACGTGCACATTTGATAACCGCATGTGTGTGATTCAAAGATGTTAAATTATTTTTCTGAGGCCACATCGATTTTGATCAAAATAAGTCAAAATCGTTATTTATGCACCAAGATCGTTGGGAAAATCTCAATGACCAAAACATGAATTTGATCAATTTTTTGCGACCCCGTGGATTTTGATAAAAAAATGTCAAAATCGTTTGCACCAAGATCGTTGGGAAAAAGACCAAGAGCATTATCTCAATGACCAAAACATAAATGTGATCTATTTTTGGCGACCACATGGATTTTGATCAAAACATGTCAAAATCGTTATTTATGCAGCAAGATTGTTGGGAAAAAGACCAGGAGCACTATCTCAATGACCAAAACGTGAATTTGAACTATTTTTGGCGACCACATGGATTTTGATCAAAACATGTCAAAATCGTTATTCTTGCACTGAGATCGTTGGGAACAAAATTATTAGCCTTATCTCAATGCCCAAGACATGAATTTGATGCATTTTTGTTAACTATAAAATGTATTTTGTAAGATTAAAATAAATTGTCGTTAAAAGTGATTGTAATACTGAGGATCCTTCGATATTTCGTTGTATCGGTTACTTTAACAGATTTCGTCGAGTCAATTTATTATTTACTTTTTAGTCTGTATATAATAAGGTGATACTAAATTAATTTAACAAAATCTTAATCAGCTTGGCGCTAAACTAGCCGAACGTATTGGCGTACGAAAATGCTGCACTTCGTAATCAAAAGTCCGTTTGATTAACGTTGACCTTGACCGGCAATTTAAGCTGAAATTTTGATCAACCTGGTCCATTTCGCGGTATAGCATGTCCAACGAACTGTCGCTTCCCGATGATAAATTATCGTCATTCGCGCTTAATTTTACTTCCTTAACTTCCTGAATATCGCAACAGTATTCCAAGGTAGCTTCCCGATTTTTCTCTTGCAAAATGTAGCTGTCGTAGTCTTGTTTTAAGATCATCCGTTCGAAAATCTGTGCGGCGCTTAATTTCTCAATTGGCTTTGACGGTGTAGATACTTCAAGTATTGGCGACATTACACTTGGGATATTTTTGGACTTTAATCGGTTAGGTGTCGGTTTACGGTTTGCTAAATTTTGCATAGAGGATTGAGATCGTAAGTTTATAACTAAATTTTTTGGTTTTTCTGGTGGTTTGGGATATTGAGCTGGTTTGGGTGCGGATTGGGGAAGGATTTTCACTGGAACACATTTGACTTGGGGATTTGTGGTACCGTTACGGTTGAGGTCTTCTATAACGCGTACAACTTTTGCGATTTTCTCAGGAGTTAAAAATCGATCTCTATGAAGACTTCCCAGCTGTCGGATGCCAACTATTTGCTTCTGCAGCTCGTTGTTAATCTTCTCCGTTTCGATGCGTTTTGATGTTTCTTGACTTAATAAGGTTTGCAACTCCATCAGTTGTCTTTTTACATCTACGAGCTCTTTACTGCTATTTTGGCTCATAAACTTACCGAAACGCGATCTACGTTCCACAGTTGACAAGGTGTTTGTTCTTCGGTATTGACCTTGGATTCCAAAATCAGACGAATTGAAATTCCTCAATGGTGCTGATCTGGTTTTCTGAATGGAACCGCTGGCTCCTACTAAAGTACTGCGGGAACCATACGTACTGCCATCGTGTAATGAAGAACTGCCGTCGAGCCAAAGGAACTCGGGCTCACGCTCCGCTTTATACCTTCGTTGCAATACTTCAAATATGCGTTCTATTGAGCCCGACGTTATGCCCTCGTTATTCCTAAAGTCAGCCACCTCCAAAGAATTACTGTGCGTTACTAAATGTATGATTCGCGTTGATAAATTTTCTGTAACACCGCAATTCTGTATGTCAATTGCTTTGATCCACAAATCGTCGTCCAAGGCGTCCAAAATCGGAATCGTACCTTCATCCCCAAGGTTTGGGTTGTTGTTCAATGTAATGCGCTTTATTCCTCCCATGGCGTTGTTTTCAGGTTCTTCGTATCTCAAGGAATTGTGCCAGCTTTCGGAGTACCTGTTCAGCTGTTGATGATTTATCACTTTGGCAATATACTGACCGCTCGATGCGCCCAAGTTGCACGAGCTCAGGTTAATAACGCTAATGCTAGGCATTAAACGTACATTGGTGCAAACTAACTGGCATCCTCCATCGTTAATGGGACAATGCTTCAGTGAGAGTATTTTAACAGTTTTGTTTGCTCTTAAACTCGACAGTAGTATTTCTAAATATTCCATTGACAGAGGAAGACCATCTAATTCTAAACAAGAAAGTACCTGTGAGCTCTTAACGCAAAACGCTATCGAAGTCGAAAGAGATCTTAAAATATAGTCAGTCCATAACGAACCACACCTTTTCTTCATTCGACGTAGTTTTTCTTCGTTATTTACTTCGTGGTGGAAATAGCACCCCGTAACTCGACTTCGAATGGCAATCACGTGCAGGCTTGTGTCGACACTCAACGCATTTAGAATAGGTGTCCATTCTTCTGGCTTAATTCGATCGGCAACAAAGTCCAACACCGTGTCGTTTTTGGGTTTTGGGGGTTTCACCGCAGCCAATGGGCTCATGTTTGAGCGTCGGCAGAGCTCCGCGTACCATACGTAAAAAATATTTCGCGGCTTTAAATTGGATGTAACAGAGGATTTGTAAGTTGACGACATAATTAATTTACACACAGATGAAGGGCGTAATGTGAAACGCACTGGGATGTGCAAGGTAAGAACTGAAAACAATCTGTAAATTAACTCAAAACGAATGATTGACATTCGTAAACATTTTGACACGACGACATCGTATCCGTACGATATTGTGATTTCATTAAAATTTAATGAAAAAGGATACCGCACAATTAAATTAAAGGAGAAGTGTATAAGGCGCGTCGCCATCATTCAATAATCGATTAAAAATTTGCATTCGATAATAGCTCATCCGCTCCTGATGAGTTTTTTCGTTGTAAAGTGGTACGCATGCATTCATGAATGCTGATTTCTTATCTTATTCCGTGCCAATAACGGAATTTATTCACGACATTCGAAGCTTTTTTTTTAATTTAACTACGGCTGTGTGTCGGCCACAAAGCCGAGATCAAGCACTCAAAATATGAAATCGGAAAAGTTGTTAAAGTAGTCTGAAAAGCCTTCGCCAGATAATTAATTCATAAAAGTTGCTTTCTTATTAAAGTTGTAAAAACGCTTTTAATTTAAAATTAGATGCCGAAATGAGAATGCTTAAATTTGAACCGGATGGGTTGTGTACGTGATCGTTATTCTTAAAAGGGAAGTAATATCAAAAATCATTCAAAGAAGGATCTGAGAGCTTAAATTCATTTTAGGAACTATTTCACGTAAAAACATTATAAGAAGGGTGTAACTATTGATTGGATGGGGTTTTCGTTTTACAATACAAAGTGCCATTAAGAAAAAAATATTATTTTTCTTATAACAAGAGAACCCTTCTGGAGCAATAAAAGAGTCTGGAAAAATAAAAACAGTTTATGCCTGAACACGTGCTCGCTTTATAGCTCGAAGCAGGGCCTGTTTAAAATTTCAGCAGGACAAGGCCACTATCATTGGCTAGCAGGAACCTTAACTGCTACAGTCGGAAATGCTTAGAAAACAAAACCTGCAAAATATTTTGTTTGCTCGCTACAAATGCTTCAAAGCGTAACGTAACTACGGGCATTCGAAGGACGAGAAACGTTTTGTTTTTCCTTTTTTTAATGTTGAACTAAGATTAACATTCGGAGCCAATAGCGATGCCCTAAGTTTAATTTTACATCCATACGTTACCTACATACCTAACATAAAATACTTAGTTAAAGCTTGCATGAGGGAAAAGCTTTCAAATAGGAAATTCGATTACGGTTTGAGCTGAAAATTGCATTCCATTTAAAAAGCGCTAAACATGGACACTCACCTATGGCCACATATTCGTAGGTATTTATTAACGGCTTTGAGGTAATGCGAGTAAGTAGATCATGTCGCAAACGATATCTGTGTACAATCTGAAGTTTAAGCATATTTCTTATTATCAATGAAAATTGGGTTTCTCAATCCCAAACCCTTACTGTTTGAAGTTCTTCATTAGTTCATCATTAATACGTCTATAGTAAATGCAGCACTACGTCATCTGGGTTTAAATTACGAAAGATTATAAGAACATAAAAATCTTTGAATACGTTTTCGCCTAAATGAGGATGCGAAAAAAATTCTGAATTCGACGAAATTTGGTATATGGAGGTTTTTGAACATGAAAATGGCTAATTTGAAATTAGTTTTTAAACACTCGAACATGCCGCTTTAAATTATGCTTATCGTGAGTAGCGAAATTACACTGATCACAAATCAAATTTTTCAGAAGGTGTGTTAATAGGGGACGCTATAAGCACCTTCTATTTTTAGTGCATTTTTTAAAAATTAAAAAAAAATGTGCTATTATTTGCGTTTTGGAATTTTTTGCAGTAGGCAGCCAATGCCTTGAAGGTGTGCCAGACGGCCATCAAATTTCGTTGTCTAAAAGGCCCCCCCCCCCCCCACACGAATTATTTCCTGAGATGCTGTTTTTGAAAGTAAAACGTGCATAGCTTTTACATACGACAACCAATTGGTGGGGGGGGGGGGGGGAGGGGTTAACACATGATCTACCCTTCATGATATTCTAATGAAGGTCTGATCGAAATAAATTGGTTTGTAACTTTCCCGTGCGACTCTTTTTCGAAATCAGTGAGCGACAGAGCCGGGGGGGGAGGGAGGAGGGGGGGTTAAAAATTAATGTAAGCTCTCATTCTATTCTAATTAAAGGTGTCAAAGAAAGAAAGCGTTTTCTACCAACTACTGCCCTTCTTTTTGTCCTCTTATCAAAGTACGGGGGTGGGAGGGAGTGGAACTAGTTTTGTCCTTCATCTAATGGTAATCTAATGAAAGGTCTTAACAAAAGGAATTAATTTCTACCAACCATAGCCCTCCTCCTCGACCTCTTATCGTGATCGGATATACTCCCTTATACCTCAAGATAAAGAAATGATTATTATTTTAAAGAACTGATTGTCGGAAGAGGGTATTCACAAAGGGCAATTGAGACGTCTGCAAAAAATACATCCATTGGTGATGTCAAAACAAAAGCTATTTCGGTTAAAAAAATGCGCTTTGTCTGCACAAGATGTTAGAATGTATAGATAGTAGTCGGCTGAGGGTAATTGTCAATTAATAAATAAAATAGAAAGTTATCATTTGATTGAATTAGTTTGTATTCATCTTCCACATTAAAACAAGAGGTTATGGGCTATCTCAGCACATTGTGAAGTGGTTGGTTTTTGGTGCAGTTTGAAGAAAAACGTTTGTGAGCCGAAACTTAGAAATTTGAATTACATTACACATCAATCAAATGGCAGATGAGGAAAAATTTGTGTTCCGACAATTTGATGGACGAGAATTTAGCAATTGGTATTTCCGGCTACAAGTAGTGCTAGAGGACAAAGGAATTGAAAAATGGTTGGAAACAGATGCAGCCAAAGCTGTAACAGAACCTGATATCCGTGAAAATAATGTGGAAATTGCGAAAATCATTAAGGAAGATCGCGCATGTCGTTTACAAATAACTCGTCGTGTTGCGGATTCGCATTTAGAGTATTTGAAGGAACGGAAAACAGCATTTGCAATGATACAGTCGCTTCGTACAACGTTTGAAAGAACAAGTATAGCAACAGAAATAAGTGTAAGAAAGCGAATGTTACTGCTACGTTGTGAAGATTCAAGTAATCTAACTGAACATTTCCTCAACTTCGACAAATTAGTGCGCGAATTAAAAGCATGCGGAGGAGAAATGGATATCAGAAATTTAATTGTCACATTATTTTTGACTTTGTCAAGGAAATATGATATGGTGGTCACTGCTCTTGAGACGATGGATATTAAAAACTTAACAATGGAGATTGTTCGCTCGCGTCTGTTAGACGAAGAGAGCAAATCGTGCAATTTGGATGCAGGTCAAAGTAGTTCAAATAGCATTGCCAGGTATGGTGGTGTAATACGTTGTTATTTTTGCAAGAAAGAAGGTCATAAACGCAACGAATGTCCAAAGTTACTTCAGAAGAAGAACGGTAGATCAAGTAAAATGAACAATGTGAATTTGAAGAATGGAAAATCGAATTTGGCAATTAGTGAAAATGCGGTAGATGATGTGGCGATTGTTGCTGACACGAGTACATTTGCCTTTGTTGGCCACACAAAATCATCAATTTGCTTCATAATTGATTCAGGTGCTTCTGAACATATGGTGAACGATCTATCATTGTTCAATGAATTATGGGATTTGGAAGATCCAATTATTGTAGGTGTTGCGAAAAGTGGTGAGTCGATTCGAGCATACAAGCGAGGTATAATTCGAGGAACTGTTGTTGTGAATGGTGATGAATAACGTTGTACACTGACTAATGTACTTTTCATCAAAGATTTGAAATATAATCTGTTTTCGGTAAGCCGATTGGAGGATGCTGGTCTAGAAATGATTGTGCAGAATGGATTGGTCCATATTATGCGGGGTACAAGTGAAGTAATCACCGGTCGGCGGATTGGACGCTTGTATGAATTTGAAATGAAACGCATTTTGAATGAAAACGTACACGCGGTGATAAAATCCAATGGCAGTGTAAAGCAAAGTTTAAAACTATGGCACAGGCGACTAGCACATATGAATTACGCCGATGTAAGAAAAATGCCATCGTTGGTTAACGGTGTTGGCGTATTAGTTGATGACGCGGATACTATTTGTGAACCTTGTATCATGGGCAAGCAATCTAGAAAGCCGTTCGCCAATTTAGGCGGAGCGCGATCAAAGCGTACGTTGGCTTTGGTACACAGTGATGTTTGTGGGCCGATTTCACCATGCACATGGGATGGTTACAAATATATGGTGACATTTATTGATGACTTTACTCATTTTATGGCAGTGTACCTTATCAAAGAAAAATCGGATGTCTTCACTATGTTCCAGAAATACAAATTAATGGCGGAAACGCATACTGGGCAGAAAATAGGCGCGTTACGTTGTGATAATGGAGGAGAATACACATCTAATCGGTTCAAGGCAGAATGCGAAGCATCTGGCATTCAATTACAGTATTCGATTTCGTATACACCGCAACTAAATGGTGTCGCGGAACGAATGAATCGAACGTTGATAGAGAGGATAAGGTTCATGCTCGAAGATGGACATATGGAACGCATATTTTGGGGTGAAGCTGTATATTGTGCAACTTTTGTGATGAATCGTAGTATAACTCGAGCGATTCAGTCGGTTGCAACACCATACGAGCTTTGGATGGGGAAGAAAACAGACATTTCAAAATTCCGTGTTTTTGGTTCGCCTGCATATGTACATATTCCTGATCAACTTCGTAAAAAGCTGGATGCAAAATCAACCAAGATGGTGATGGTTGGTTATGGAGTTAATGGGTATCGACTTTGGGATTCTTCAAAGAATCGAATTGTTGTA